GATGTGTAAGTATACGAAGTTTGGTCACGCTAGGTCAATTAGGGGTCGAGTTATAGAGCGGAAAGGAAAGTGTCTGCGGAGGTGCCGAACGGCGGCGGCGGCTGGACAGACATGAAACCATAGTATACCGCCGACTTCGTCGCGGGGGATACAATAATTATGTTACATTCTGTAGTGCCTCAATAACTAGTGATAAAAGCACTGCAATTATTTCACTCATAGGCAGGGTTCTATCTGGGTAATTGTGCTTAGTACACGATAATTAATTTTGTGATATTACCAACTTGTTTGTAAATTTTGGGCGCTTGTTTTTAGTGAAATTAAAGAATAATATATAGTTTTGATAACAAAATGGTGGTCATTGTGAAAGATGGATACAGCACAATTTGAGAAAATAACATACACAATTTCTTTCAAATTGTGAATTTTAACATTGATTAATTAAATTTCTGTTGGCTTCATATCTACTGATAAGTTATAATTCCCAGAAAATCTTATGCTGCATGAAATTATAATTATGTATATATGTATGTGTGTATCAGTATAGATATACGTCTTAAAGATATTGCATCCTGAATATCAGATTTCTACTGCACAGGATTTTTAACCATAAATGAATTTTTTTTAATTAATTAAAACATACCCATGCTAAAACCATGTATTGTTGCAGGTCATTGTAAGACTGAATGGTAGAAAATCTGAAACAAAAGAATAAAAACAAATATGCAGAAATACTGAAGGATGAGTTTTCTAAAAAATAAACATACAATGCATATATCTAGCAGACTGTATTGCTGTGAAAAACTGATGACTTCAAACAGTCTTCTTGGCTGTTCTCATATTTTTGCCATTACAATACTTACTGGCAGGGTGCGAAATTAACAGGAGTCCGGAGTCAAATACTCCCAGATTTACTATCGGACTCCCTGATTTGACGTATGCAGGAGTCCGTGGGACTCCCTGAAAATTCTGCCATACTACCTAGTTCGTTCCAGAGCACGGCCTCGTGGAAATACCGTATTTTTTCAGCTAATATCCAAAGAAAATTTGACAGACTTGCAAACGCATGAATCTTACAAATAAGCACATGCGTTATTGTTAATATCTTTAATTTTGAACCGAATCAGACTGCGAACTCCCTCATTTTGCTGTGGACTCCCTGTTTTTGAGGATAGGGAGTCCGTTGGACTCCCGTGTTCAAAAGTTAATTTCTACCCCTGTTTACTGGTATCGCTTGCCTAACAACAAGTGTCTACAGTAAAGCTAATATGTCTTTGAACACTCTTACATCTTTACTTTCACCAAAATACGTACAAATTGAAATTTGTTCGTCGACTTCTTGTTGACGCATTTACATGACGATGCAATTTGTTTCTTGCAAGATGCTGTGCCACACTTTGTTCATAGTAACTTGCATTATGTAATAGAGATGCTGTGCCAGTCTATAACCACTAAGTCACTCGATGAGATGCACTTTTATCCCGTGGTTGCCGATTCCAAGGAAATTATCACGACACAAAAGAATGTGAATGCATTATTTGGTATATTACATAGCACAGCATCACAAACACCCAATAGTAAGCACTGCAAAACCACATTTTTATATCAGTAATCAGTCACATTTGCTAATAGGTCTAAATTGTCTACATTATTTTATTTTTCGATTAATTTGATGGATGATAATTCTAAAACGTGCTAGCTATCATAAATACATGTATACACATAGAAAGGTGTCACAAAATAACAGCGGTGTGGCTAGTCCCCATGCATTCTACCCAGACTAATCATACAAGATTACAAGATTACGAGATTCCAAACATCCAGAATGAGACAGGAACTACTGTAGCTGTTGAGTTTTGGTATTCAGTGCTGCCATCTACTGTAGGTGGTAATACCTAATCTTACTGAAGAGCTAGTCTTCCGGTAGATATGGCGAGTGTTCTGTTAACACGCTTTTGTCTTACAAAATAAATGCCTATTTTGTCAAAACTTAACAGTAGCTTCAGTAAACCCCTTGGTCATGATGTTTGGCAAATTCCATTAGATTGAAATCATACTATTTACTAGCCTATGGCTTAAAAACACCACTGGTGCAGCCAATAAATGCATAATGAAGGGGTGATACTATAAGCACATAAATAAATAAGTATATAGTATATTAACCCGACCAGGCTGTGTGACTAACGTCAATACACCGCCTGACATCCATCCATTG